TTACTCTTTATTTTCATATGATTCTTGCATTTTATTTAAGAGAAAATTTTCTATATGAATCATGTTTTTTGGTATTCACATGATCTTATCTTTCATGATATGATTTTTATAATTCCTTGTATTCATGAAGTATATTTCAACACCCAAATTCTCTTGATATTCTTCATATGATGATATGAAATTATGCATGAAATACTCATGAATTTATGTTGATGCATACAAATGAGAAGTTATGATCATGCAATACTATGATTTGTTGCTAAAATGATGCATCATGAATGCTTGAGTATCATGTATGATATGCCCATAGTGATGATTTATTTTTAGTATCATGCATGAAGTAAGGATGAAATGTAAGGTTTTAAAATTATGCATATTTTAATTTGGAACTATAATGATACACAAATATACCGAAATAAGATAGATACTTTACCTTTATCATAATTTAAAAATTATTATAAAAGAAAAAAAGAATTATAGAATTATTTTCTTCCCTTCTTTTTGACAATTACAAAGGGGGAGAAAGAACTAGCTTGTATGTTCTAAAGTGATATAAAATTTGCTAGCTTGCATGGTGCAAAATTTGTTAGCTTGCTTAATGTAAAACTTGCTATCTTACTAGCTTGCATATCTAAAACTTGCTAGCTTTCCCAACTCAAAAGAGAAGCAAAAATTACTAGCTTGCACATCCCAAGTAGAAGCAAATTTGCTAGCTTACACTTCTCAAAAGAGAAGAAAGAACTTGCTATCTTGAACATCACCAAAAATTGCTAGCTTGTCTATCTTAAGAAGTAAAAGTACATACTTTACAATCTTGCACATCTTTAAAATTAATGATGATTTGGTGATTAGGGATGTTGTAAAGTGATAAACAATTTGTTAGCTTATATGTAACAAAACTTGTATATCTCTAAAACTTGTTTGTTGCACTTCTCATTTTTGTTGATGACAAAGGGGGAGAAGTTATGTTAATGATCATGCATGGAATGATATATTGAAATTTTGATTATGCATGATTTTATGATCACATGTTGCAAATATTCATGATGAAATATTGCTTTGACTTGAATTTAATTTGAATTCATGGTTCTATCAATATGGCATATTGATAGGGGAAGTTAAGGTTAACTTCATTATCAATTGGTTGTCATCATCAAAAAAGGGGATATTGTTGAATCTCAAAGTTTGGTAATGAAACCAATTGATAGTATTTATGATTTGATCTGCGTTTTGAGTGACGTAGAAAGTTTCGATCAATGAGAGATAATTAAAGCAGGAAGAATCATGTTGGGCCGGAATGGAACATGTCAGAAGATTGGATGTCGAGCTGAAGGATCGGTCAATGTATCGGTAGAAGGCTTCGGGCCATGAGTTCGGGTATCGGACCAAGAAGAGCAAAAATTACACCAAATAAATCAGAGTTGCGGAGGTCAACTGACCGATTGGGCAATAGGTCGTAAGAGAGGACGATGCACCGAAGAATCGGATGAAGCGTCGATGAACCAATGACATACCGGACAACATGATTCAAGCTTTGTAATAATTGTCTAGATCGAAGTAGGATTTATTTGTACAGGATTAACTATGATAATGATCAAGGCATAAAGCAAAATAAAGTCCCGGAGTCCAGAACGAGACTTCGTTGGGAGTTCGAGAGTTCGTCGAAAGTTCGAACATTCGTCGGAAGTTCTACTAGAATTAACCGAGAAGTCCAGGAGCTTGCCGGAAGTCCGCTGGAACATTACCGAGAGATCATCGGAAGTTCACCGGAAGATCATCGGAAGCTCGCTGGAAGATCGTCGGAACCTTACCAAAAGAAACCTAGGCTAACTAGACCATATTTGCTTAGTGTATGTCTTAAATTTCGTAGTTAGCACATAATTGGGTTGGAATTGAGCCAACTCAATTATGAGACAATTGGGCCAAGTTTGGGTTGTGTTGGGCCAAGTGAAAAGGCCCAAACAGTGACCCAACAAGTGGAACCGATGTGGCACAGTCTCCGAGAATGTGTCAGGCAGTGGTACCACCAGTCTAAGTGGGGGTACCGCCCAATGTCAGGCTACAAGCGGTGGTACCCCCCCAGTGAAGGGGGTGGTACCGCCCGTACCCCGAAATTTCAAATATTTGAATTTTGGCTCCAAGTTCTCAAGTCATTTAGGGTCTATAAATACCCCAGCTATTCCTGCATAGAATAGCAAGAAATATGATCAAAAACTCTATGTTTCTAAAGTTGAAAACCCTTGTAAAGTGTAGAGTCCCTCCTCCTAAAATTTAGAGACCATTCTAAAGGAGAGTATGAAGGAAGCTTTGTAAAAAGGGGTTGTAAAGGTTCTCTCCTGAACCTGTCAAAAGGAGAATCGAGTTGTAAAGGTAGTTGATCTTTGCCCATTTAAGGAAGATCATTAGTGGATACCAATGGCCTCGACGGAAGAGGAATCGGCGGAGTGGATGTAGGTCACGACGACCGAACCATTATAAAAATTTGGTTTATATTTTTTTCTTGCTATTTACCTTTATTACAAACGGAATTCTTACTTTTACTATACTTTCGCATGCTTTCAAGTTAAACATTTCTGAGATTGGATTTTATTATACGAAGAAATTTCAAACCAACGTTTTTATCTGCTGCATTAATTCACCCCCCTAGTGCTAACTCGTTCCTAACACGGCATGTCATTGGTTCATCGATGCTTCGTCCGATTCTTCGGTGCATCGTCCTCTCTTGCAGCCTATTGCCCAATCGGCCAATTGACCTCCGCAACTCTGATTTCCTTAGCGTAATTTTTGCTCTTCTTAGCTCGATACCCGAACTCATGGCCCGAAGCCTTTTGTCGATACGTCGACCGATCCTCTGGCTCGACGTCTAATCTTTTGACATGTTCCACTCTGACCCAACATGATTCGTCTTGCTTTTAATTGTCTCTCCCTGATCAAAGCTTCCTACGTCACTCAAAACGTAGATAAGATAAACACTATCAATTGGTTTCATCATCAAAATCCGAGATTCAACACTCCTCCTCAACCTACAACCCTTATTTGAGCCTGACAGCACCATGTCTGGTATACAGTCTTTGAGATATTAAATGGATGAGAAACTATAGATACACGATAACTGACGATAGATAGGTCTAATAAATTAGATTCTCTTATATTATCTGAGGATAAATGTGCCAACATTACATCACATTTCGAGTCTTAACTCATTATTTATTAAATACCATGTATCGAATTCCAATTATATATATATAATTTTTTAGTATCTATTATATCATAGATATTATTAAAATGAATGCAAAATTATATTACAAATCTATAATAATTGATATTGTATGTATTGTCAGAAATGGCATTGTATTTCATCGCCACATATGTTTGTTACCTCCTGTGTAGGTGTCATGATGATTTGATACCACTTTATTATATCTAAAATAATAATCATAGACGAAAGTACATTAAGTTATCAACTTTATCTTAAACAATATATTTTTCAACTATCCAAAATCAAATCCCAAAGTTCAAAAATCCCAGAGTCTAAAACGTAATATTGAAGAAACAAGAAATTCAATTCTCACTTATATTTATAAAATATGTGTAGTTTATAATTATTTACTATGTCACTTAACAAGATATAAATCTCAAGCAAAACTCAATAAATCTTATCAATCACTCATAACTCACAAAATCAAAGAAACACCATAATTATAAATTAATAATTTATCATAAATTCACATCAAGCATGAAAACTTATTATTTAACAATTTAAACTTTAGATATATTTTAATATTTATAATAACTCACAAACTTATATTTGTTACCTCTTGTGTAGGCGATGGATGTTCTCTTATGGACTTATGAATACCCTCAGTAGTTTAGTTGTATGAAGTTTAATGAGCTTCAATAGATTTGGTACTACCAGCGCATGGTTTAAGATGGTCTTATGCTAAGAATAGTTTCCAGTTTTGACATTAGAGCAACATGTTCTTTACAGCTGTCTGAAAACTCCTATTAATTAGAGAGATAGTTGTAATGACTAATGGGGACACTTTCCCACTACGATTAAGAAAGATACCTGTCCGTTGAGAACGACTGCACACGCCACCACTTGCTCCACATAACATTTGCTTTCAGAAAAGTCAAACAGATATATGCTTTTACCAAACGTTATGTCAGTGAATTATTTTTCCCAAAATATTAAACATAGTTATTGAGAATTTGTCTTCTACCACGTACCATGAATCAGTTTGTATGAAGTAATGCTTCTCTTTTTCTTTTGATGTTTCAGTTTTGTTAAGATGAGAAGTGATGGAGATGGGTGACCGAGTGATCATGTAATTCATATGACTCTCTTCCCAGTTCTACTCAACACAGCTTCGTCCTCACAGTTCACAGCTTGATATGTACTCCAAGCATATGATTTTGATGCAAAGTCAAAATAAAAGTATATACTGTGTACTTGCATGGGGACATTACTGCGCTACGTGTCTTGACTTGTTTAAACGCGAATAATATGACCATCACCTCTCTCTCTCTCATACGCAGCCTTGGAAAGATCGCACCTGTTTAATCCAAAAGAAATCCCTTTCTATAATAACTGACGTGGGTCAGAGAAGTCTCGGAATCCTTCTTAGAGAGTATAAATCGCGAAGTGTTGTGGCCTGCCACAAGCAGGATTTGTGGGATGATTCACTTCACTTAAACAGTATGTTCCCCAAGCTATGTGATTTCTTACAACATAGCATCAACAGATAGAGCAACAGCTCCATATATATCTGATTGCATTTTCTTCATTCAGAACATTAACTTCAATAATATGTTTTCAATTTGAAAATAATAATAATCACATGTTTTCAATCAATGTCATCTCGTGCAGTATTCTTTTCTTTCTTTCTATATATGTCAAAGCTTCTAATTGTTATTGCTTTAGTATTAATTTGACATATACAAATTCCAATAGCATGCTTATAAATAACAAAGAAGAAAACAGTATTTTCTTCTCCTCCTCAGTAAACAAGGACATCGTATTATGTACTTAATGCTATTAGATGTCTCCTTTCCTCTCCCCCAACCGCGCAATGTTAACAGCTCAACTCCTGCAATGAACAAATCCTCCCCCCACCATTATTGTACGTAGTTAATTGTCATCTTCAACACCGTGACGTCTCACTAGTCCACAAATGAATTTAAGGATGGCCCCCCTTATCCCGTCGGCTCCGCTCGGCAACAGCTCCGACCTGCACACCGGACAGCTGAACTCGCCCTTGTCCACCCACCTGTCGATGCACCCTCTGTGGAACGCGTGGCGGCAGTTGCCGAGCTCCCTGACCTCGTCCTTCGGCTCCAGCCTATCCAGGCAAAACACGCACATGGGCTCCTCGGCGCAGCACCAGCCTCGCGGTCTCCCGTCGACGAGGCTCCCGACTTCGACGACCGGAAGCCTGGCCTTGATCGACGAGGGCGTGGCCGGGCCGGGTGGTCGGCCTGTCGCCGAGGCTATGTGCTGGTCCTGTTGGTACACGCCGAGGTAGACGAGGACCAACAAGATGAAGGACCGGATTCGATCCAGGGTCTTCAGCAGCTGCACCACCGGCTGTGGCACCGCCATGCAGTAGCAGACCAAAGGGAAGCTCATGAAGAGAGAGAGAGAGAGAGAGAGAGAGAAGTGTTTTGTTTGGGTACAGGTCTGGGGAGAGGTGGGGATTTATACGGAAGGAGGAACCAGTGAAGAAGTCGAGAAACGTGTGTTGATTTGGAGTCTGTGGACGTGAAGACGGGTGTAATTAAAGGTCAAGCTGTGACAAGGAAATATAGAATCGACATGTGCGGTACTGCCACCGAGTTAGACGCTTTGACCATGTACTAGTGGTTGGTTTGTTCTTAGCCTTTGGACTTTGATTAATTTCCGTTGACCCTATTAGTGTGGAGATAGGAAGGATCATACAATCTTTTCTTAAATAGTAATAATAAGTACTATTAGCCATCAAACCAAATAAAAGAAGTAGAAATTAAGATGAAAAAAAAATATATATTAAATTTAAAATGACTCTTAAACTTGACTTGAATACTTAATGTTTTTATTGATCTATATATAGATATCACCTATTTATAGATATAAAATACAAGAATCCCTAATATTTACAACTCTATCTAATCTTATTTAAAAATTTTAAAATATATTTGAAACTAAAAATTCCTTATCCCTAAAACTCTAATTAATTTATGATCTTCTAAAATATACATTAACTTTTTAACACTCTCCTTTAAAGTATACTTTTGGAGATAAGTTCCAGTTTGATTTGTAAGATCACATCCATAACTGTCACCAAGCATGGGATCATGTATAGAAATACGATCTCGACCAAAGTGTTCTCTAGAGTGCACATGAATGTTGCCATCCAGATCTTTTCTTATATTATCCGGAAATCTACTTGAATCAAGTTGCTCCATTTTGAAACTTCTAGGATCATCTGAAATACTTCTTGACTCAAAGCCTAATCCAAACTTACTATATGAAAGACCACTGAAATCTCTAATTGGATTTCGTGTAGAAGGCACAACATCCATAAGATGGCTGAATTCAAGAATAGACTTGTGCATATCAGAAATAGGACCAAATTCCTAACGAAAACTAATAGACAATTATCTAAATCTTTCATATGGCAAAAGCCTAAATCTGTCTTTAGGCAATCCATGAGTAAAAACATAATCATGCACACCATCAATTTGAACGTTTCCTGGAATCTCATTAGCCTTAACATCTTTGGGTTTATCAAAACAAGTAGGCATAAGACCATCAATTGGTTCAAAAAAGAAATAGTGACATATGTTTACATTGTCTCCATCTCTATAATATGCTGGTTTGATCATTATTCTTTTTTATCTTCTAAATGTTCGAATTTTCTCTTTATGAACATCGTTACTCCCCCTATCACTTTGTTCCATCATTGATGATAAAGAATAATAGGAGTAGATATACATGAAGAAGAAGATGAGCTAAAATCTATAGAAGCATTAGATGACAAAGGAATCTCAACCACAAACATGTATCACTTTCATTATTGTCATTGATATTTAAAAAAAAAAATTGCTTATGAAGGATAATAACAAGAAACGTCATCAAACATAACATTTGAAGATACCACATACTTTTGTAGCCTTAGCATCAAGCTTGTTTCTCTTTGAGTATGGTATGGGAATATTGTAGGAAATTCTGGGGTGACATTACATGCACAGCGGAAAAACAAAAAACAAAAATCCCTTAATTTTTCAATGATGTATTCACCGTCGTGCGAAGATTAGTGTACAAAATCCGTAAAATCGAAAACTACGTATATAAAATAAATTATGTTTTACCTAGGGAGATCGTATATCCCTAAATCCTTATAGATCTAAAGGAGATGATGAAGGAAGTCAAGCACCCTCCTCTCTTGTGGTGATCTAAACAATAGGGCTATGATGATACTCCTCAAATCTTCAGGCCTACTATTTGAGGAGGGGAATGAGAGAGGAGAATAGAAGGTGGCATCCAAAAACCTCTAGCCCATGAGTATTTGGTTCCCTCCTATTTATAGAGGTCCCTTATGAACTTAACCCTAATGGATTTTGCCCTATTGGGTATTGGATCTTTATCCAACTATCCAAACCTCTTATATTAGTAGATCTCTATCTAATAATCTCTCATTAGCTCTTATTAGATCTCATCTATATGATTCAATAATTCAGGAGCTTATTGAATATCCAATAAGATAGGGGCTTCAGCGAATATCTCATGTCCGAACCTCTACTTGTCACAATGCTTACCATATGTGTATGACTCTCCAAGTCTAATATTAAGCTAGTCGTGAGTCATACCTATCAAAACTCCTTCTGACTCAGTGAATTATTATCTCCATAATAATTCATTCGACCCATCGACTACGGACGCACTAGGCTACTACATCGTAGTCCCCAGATGATATAGGAGAATCCAATCCATTAGATATATCTATCCTTAGTTACCGTATATCTATAGTCCCTTATCCATCTAATATTGCTAGTCATAGGTGCCCAACAAGCCAATCACGTGAGTGATGGCACGTGTGACTTGATACAGAATCTTTTTGCTTATTATATTTTGGCGTATATCACTTTATAACTATTGCATAAATGCATACATATATTGTGATGTCCTTGGATTTGTGCAATGGGAATCGGATCGTGATGAGATCACGATAATGAGATCGATTCACCTTTAAACACATATCCTAAATGATCCCGGTCATAGGTTACTCGAGAGAGACATCGTGATAACCGGATAGACTGGTGTGTTGTATACCCGTCCATATGATAGATGCAGCTGGTCTCATAGCTGCTCGTGTAGGGACACTAGGGATACAGTACAGGTGCTCATTGGAGAATGAGTTCACTGATTGATCCGCTTACGGAATGCTGGATGGTTAATGATGCCTTATTGTCAGACAGCGATTCCGTAGTCCTAGTGGTGTATCTGGTCCTTAGACTTGAGACACCAAGGATGTCCTATATGAGTGCTCCACTCTTTGATACCAG